GAAACAGCTACAAACATCAATTAGTAATCAGAACTTGAAATGTACAAAGTATGAATCTAGGAAAATTGGAAGCTGTTAAAATGAAATGGAATACATAAAAATTGACATTCTAGGTATAATGAGGTGAAATGGACTGGTATTCACCATTTTGAATCAGAAACCATATGGTTTCCTATGCTGAGAAGGAAACAATCAAGAGGAATGGCATTGAATTCATCATCATCAAGGGTATATCAAGATATATCTTAAAGTACAATGTTGTGTGTGATAGGGTCATATCTGTCTGCATTCAAGGAAATGCTATCAATACAACTATTATTAAAATCTATGCACTAACCACCAAAGCCAGTAATGGAGAAGCTGAATTATATTGATGTCTTCAGTCTGAAATCGATCCAATATGAATCACGATGCATTTGAAATTATTGGTCATTAGAATGTGTGTTATTCTGGGTACTTTGGGGAAACAAATACACAGAGACTCATATATAAGAGAGTTTTATATAAAGGTTAAGTGTGCATCAAGAAAACATCGCACCCAGTGCTGCCCAAGCCCACAAGTCCAACATTAATGCATTAACCCATATGTCCAACACCAGTCCACAAAGTCCTCCTCCATCTCACAAAGCAGACGCAATGATGCAGACTGCAGAAGGAAAGCCGAGCCAGTGAATGTGTAAGTATCTCAGTGCTGGCATGGGTCTCCACACTGCTGCTCCAGCACCCAAGGCTGCATCAGAGTAGCTCCATGTGGCTTCTCCTTGGGAATGTTACAGGAAGTCAGCCTTGCAAGCTGAAGCAGGGAACTGCTAAGGCAGCTGCACCCTGGTTCGACCATCACAAAGCAAGGGACCGGAGAATTCAAAAGGTGAGGCTCACCAAGCCATTTATCCCTCCGCCCTTCAATTAATCCCACGTGTGTTTATCGGCCAGGTTGGCACAATAAACTAACTAACTCAGAATGTAAAAGTTGGAAACAAAAATAAAGGAACAAGAGTTGGAAACTATGGCCTTGGTGACAGAAAGTAAACCAGAGAATGCAGCATAGAAATTTGCAAGACCCAGGATTTTTCGTCACTAACACAATTTTTCCAACATCACCAATGATGACTACACACAAGGATTTCTTCAGATGGTATAACAGAAAAGAAATGGACAATATCTGTGGGAATAATGATGGAGAAGTTCAGTATTAACAGCCAAAACCAGGAGAGGGGCTGACTATCAATTGCTCTGATGTAAGTTCAGGCCCAAGCTGAATAAAATGCAAACATGTCCACAAAAGCCAAAATACAACCTTGAGTCTATCCACTTAAAATTTGAGAATATCTCAAAAACTACCAGAGGGGCGGGGTGGGCCGGGGCGGGGGTGGGGGTGGGGTGGGGTTTGCTTGCTGCCTTGAAAACTGACAGAATGACAGAAGACTTGATGAGCTGTGGGATGACATCAAGGATATTAAACACAAAGAAGACAAAGGGTCATTTAAAGAGAGGAAAGCAAGAGAAGATAAAAGTGGATGTCAGAAGAGACTCTTAAATTTGCTGTTAATCAAAGAGTACCAAGAAATATGAAACAAATGATGAAGTTGAAGAATTAAATTGAAAATTTCAAAGGGTACTTCAGGAAGACAAAGTAAAATGTTATAATAAAATATACAAAGACCTTGAGTTAAGCAACCAATAAAGAACAGGCTCAGCATATCTTAAACTGAAAGTCCTCAAGAAAAACCCAAGCCTCAAGTTGTACTCTTGAAAGATTCTGCAAGGAAAATATTGACTAAGGTAGGAAGCATCAAAAGAAGAAAAAAGAAAACGGACTCACTGTACCATAAAGAACTAGTTTACATTCCACCACTTCAAGTGGAATGTAAAAGTCCAAGCATATGAGCAAGAACCAATTATATGTAAGGAAGAAGAAGTTCAAGGTATATTGAAAGCATGTGCCAAAAATGAAACTCCAGAAATTGATGGTAAACCCATCAAAATGTTTCACCATGAGCTGATGAAGCACTGGATGCACTCACTCATAGACATATGCCAGGATATTTGGAAGATAGCTACTTGGCCAACTGACAGGAAGAGATCCAGATTTGTACCATAAAATAGAACAGAGGCATATAAATCAGAAAAGGTATACATCAGGGTTGCATCCCATCACCATACTTTTTCAATCTGTATGCCGATTAAAGATGATAACAGAGAAGCTGGATTAAATGAAGAAGAATGTGGCATCAGTTTGCTAGAAGGCTTATGAACAACTTGTGATAAACAACTCAACCTTGCTTACTCAAAGGGAAGAGGACTTGAAAGTACTTCTTGATGACGCTAAAGGATTGCAACCTTCAGTATTACAACTCAATTCAAAGAAAACTAAAATCATCACAACTAAGCCAGTAGGTAACATCATAATGAATAAAGAAAATATTTAAGTTGCCAAGGATTTTGCCTGGCTGGAATCTACATGGATGCAACAGTCAAAAGGTCAAATGACACATTGCTTTGGGTAAATCTGCTGCACAAGACCTTTAAAAAGTGTTAAAGCAAGGATGTTACTCTGAGGACTAAGACATACCTGGCCCAAGCCATGGTTTATTCAATCACTTGATATGCATATGAAAGTTGGACACTGAATAAGGAAGAACAAAGAAAAACCAATGTATTTACGTTATGATGCTTTAAATTAAAAGTACAATGGACCGCCAAAAGGACAAGCACATTTGCTGTGGAGGAAGTACAGTCAGTGTGCTCTTTAGGGGTAGATATGGTGAGAGTTCACCTCCCATACTTTGAACATGTTGTTCAGTCCCTTGAGAAGAACATCATGCTTGGTAAACCGATAGGTGCTTGGTAAACTAGCAGGACAGCAAAAAATGCAGAAGACCTCCAATGAGTTTTGCATGGCTGCATGGATGTGCTCAAACATAAAAACAATTGTGAGATGGCAAAAGACCAGGAAATGTTTTGTTCTGTTGTACGTAAGGCACCTAGAGTCAGAAGCAACAACAATCAATAACAACTTCAGACTATACATATATATCAAGTAGAAATTACAAGAATTCATAACATTATATTCTGGCGGCGGGTGAGGGGGATTGAACCGATGAGTTCCAAGTGTACTGTACAGAGATGGAACTAAAAAGCAAGGTCAGTATAAAATAGCTAGATTTCAACATAGTTTAGAGATAAATTTAAAGCCTTAAAAGTACATATTACTAACTTAAGAAAGGCTAAAATTCAATGTTAAATAAAGTGGAAGCAAAAGAAAAGAAATATTATGAAGATTAGAGTAGAAACAAAACAAAAACCAAATTCAAAATTTAAAAAACTAGTTATTTTTTAAAAAGAGTATTAAGTTACCATCATCTTGTGACTGATAATTCTATGTCTGGGATAGTATATTTGTTTGCTAATAGTATTAATTTATTATCTGTGAATAATTGAAACCCCTGTAGCACTAATTTAAGATTATTTCTTTTTTATCCTTCTCTCCTCTACCTTCTCCTTTTTTAATACACCAGAGGTCTCAAAACACAGGCGAGGCCTTGATTTATAGCAAATTGATTTATAGGAAATATGTTGGGTTGTTCAATAATCAAGTGAACTCTCAGAACACATCGGTAGAAGATGACTATGCTGGAATTCTTGTTTCTGATGCAGACAGAGTCAGAAAGACTCTTTTGACATTATAGCTATGATCTCATTTTAGCTCTAGGACACTATTGCCTAGAGACATTGGGTCTCTTGTTGGAAGCTAAGGGATTCCATTGCCTAGGGATCCCATGCCTAGGTCTCTTGTTGGAAGCTAAGGGATTCCATTACTGTGCCCAGGCCTCATGCACACTTAGCATTTGGCTTCTTTTTTGTGTAATGGCTCAGGCCAGTTCCTAGAACATCAAGGTCTCCTTCTGGATGACTGACTGACGATATCTTCAGTGCCCTGAGGCACTACCAATGAGGAATTAAACAAAAAATAAACTAAACAGTTATTTAGGGCATAACTAATAAAAACCTCACAACATTACCCATGCCAAGAAAAATGGGAAGAAGTTCACATTTAAGTAACTTATTAAAAACTTAATTTGTACACCAAAATTTAAGAAAAGAGGAGGAGGAAGAAGAAAGAGAAACTCGTTTGATTGCAGTTGCTGTGTCATTTTGAGTAATTGTATTTCATTTTGAATGTCTTATTCTGACTAGATAACCATTCCTAAAATGGCCAGTATCCTCCCCTTCCCGGGCTCTTCCTGAAACACACACACTTCCTGATTTACTTTGATAGTTTCTGCTTACTGCAACATTGCCTATCCCACCTTTGCCAAGTTGTTGGCTTTCAGTTCCCAGAGCTAGGAAGACTGGGTATTGTTTCATTTTTCTGTTGTAGTTCTTAGCCCACTATCATATCTTTTTTCAAGGTTACACGGAATCATTTTGCATTTACAAAGCTATTTCCACAGATTTATTGAACGCAAAATACAGTTATGACTTCAAACTTTCACTTTTACCATTACCCCAAAATTATTCATCTCGAGTTCAAACATCTCTTTGGGTGAATGGGATTGCCCTCTCCCCCCATCCCCACCCCCTCAATTCACAATATGATCAGATACTCTAGATTTTAAATGTACGTGGTAGAGAGGGAAAAAAGGGAGCAGTATTATAGAACTCCATTTAAATTTCAATTCTACTCAAATCAAAGCTGGTATTATTTTCTATTGATTTTTTCTTTTTTTTTAACCTTGGCCTGTTTCTCCTTCTCCTGTTTCTGCCTGCACCTGTTGTCCAGGAGAGCTAACAGACATATTCCAGAGTTCCGTGTAAGAGAAAGCAGAGAGAACTGATAACTTGTGTTTTCAAGGAGTGGAATAGTCAGAAGGGAAAAGAAAGGAAGGTTCTCTCTATTTTTTCAAAACAATTGTAGAACTACTGTTAAAATCATAAGATCCATAAGGAGAGATTGGTATAATTGATAAACTGCAACCATCACTCTTCTCCAGACTTACCTCAACCAGCTTATTGGCATGTTCACGGAAAACCTGGGCATATTCCTTCACTTCCTTTTCATTCCCACTCTTGGCAGCTTCAATGAGAACCAGCAAAGGAACGTTGGTTTCCAAGAAAGAATCAGATATGTGATCCATCACAGCTTTTCGAAGCTACAGGTAAAGAAAACAATACACAATTAAAAGATTGACAACAGGGTTTTTTTTCCTAAAATATTTTCCAGCTCCCATTACCCATGTAAATAATTTTCTAACTCTCTCTTAATTTACCTAGTATTTATTTAATCAAAGGAAACTAAGAGAGATGACTTATGAATATCAATTACAATTAAATATATCAGCATATGTCAACTTCAAAAAAACATAGGAGGGCTTCAAGAAGTTGTGGAAATAATGGAATTTTTGTTCAAAGTGTTTGATCTATCTATCATCTATCTATCTATCTATCTATCTATCTATCTATCTATCATCTATCATCTATCTCTCTATCATCTATCTACTCACACACACACATACATATGTCCATGGCTTGTAGCTCAATATACTATAGGCTCTCCCTGATTAAAAAAAAGTCTGCTCTCATGTTCCATTAAATACCACATTTCTTTTCATGAAGTTTTAAATCTGGATGCAGTTCAAGGACTCCGTTGACTTAGAAAAGGAAAATTGTAGGCATCAACCATTAAGTAAAAATACCCTTGGATGCCGAGCTAGGTCAGGAAACCATTAAATATTTAACACTTTGCTTTAGCTGCCATTTCTCTATCTATTGTTTGTACTTGATGGTGAAGAAAACATCTAACATCTACCAGTTGAGTGTTTCCTCATTTGTTTACTCGAAGCAACAGAAATGTTTCTATGTAAGTGTTATGATGATCCAGTTGGTTTGCTCCAGAAAAAACAAAAACAAGACTTATAATTATTCTTTGGGGTTAATAAGAATAAACAGACTCAAATATCTAACAATGCATAATTACACATCTTTCCCTCATTGTTAAAATAAAAAAAGAGGGCAGGTGCGCGAAAATGAAATGAAACTGTCATTGAACAATCATTTCAGTACTGCTTTGTTCATGATTTTCTGAATATATATAGTAATAAAACTTCCCAAATACAAGTAAGCACAAGAAGATATAGAAAAAATAATATGTATGTTTTCCAAACAAATGTATCTACATAGAAGTACCCAGGCAAACATTTTGATAAGGTTATACATATGCATTTATTGATCAGAAGAGAGATTACTATGAGCCATCCTCAATTCCTTTGTACATTAATTACCATAATGTATGTATTATGTATGAATAGCTTAGTTTGAATTTAAATTGGATTTGACATTTCACCTGTACTTTAAATAAACACTGTACTTTAAATAAAAAAAAAATGATTTTGTTTTCTTCTCCATATTCTTGTTTATAACAAGTGGATTATAATATAATGGATGCTCAATAAATGTTGATAAATGAGTGAATGCACAAAGAAATGGTCAAAATTGTACTTGAATCTAATTCTTAGAATTTTTAAGTGCAGGGACTTTTTATTTACTCAGAACAGGGTTTTTACTGAGTAGTATGAGGTGATATAAAGGGTTTAGTCTCAGACAGATTATTTCTTGTTCAATTCTGGCCCTGCCACTTGCTTATAATGGCAAACAAATAATTTTAAATTTCATAGCCTGGGTTTCATCATTTAAAAAGTGGTATAAGAATAACCCTTATACCACAGTATGATAGCAGATATATTATTTGAGTACCTGACATGCTGTGTACATCCATAAAATTAGAACTCACCAATAAACATTATACCTGGACTGAAACTTGATATATATCGACATATAATTAATTCAGTAATGTTAATTTAATATATACTTCCAAACATTATATCTCTAAATATGAATCCTCAAACAGATAAAAAAAGCAACAAATATAAAAGTGGAGAAAAGAGAGTAGGCAATAAAAAATATGAAAAAAGATTTGACATATGACTTCTGAGAGCATCAGTAGCAACCAGAAGATGGTGGAATGATATATTTACAGAGATGGGAATGTCAACAAAGAATTGCATACCCAGCTAAACAGCATTTCAAGAATAAGGGTGAAAAGGACAGGTCACATAAATGAAACCTCAGCCGACCTGAGTTACATAGATATTATAGGTAGTCTCTGACTTATGATGGGGATACATTCTGATGGAAGTTGAATACCTCTTTTTTTTGTTGGCTTGGTTTTTAGTTTTCATAGCCTGCTGTATGACGGTGTTTATAAAAATAAATCATAGCATTCAACATCCGCTATTAACTATCTGAGAATAAAAATATCAGCAAAGTGCAGGCTGCAACAACATATGTACTTCTATTTAAAAAAAAGATGGCTATAAGTGAGGTTCAATGTGACTTGATTATGCTGTAGTTCCAGGATTACTTACATATAAATGAGTCAAAGATGGACTTGGTGTATTGTTTCTAGGATATTTATTCATAGCAAGAAGGGGACGGTTTGCCTAAAAGCCCATCAGTGCCAAACACCTCAAACTTTTACATTTCCAATTGATTTAAAATAGAGCAAAAGCTGTAACAGTACCCCAGAAAATGATTTTTGAAAAACAGAGCAAAAGAGCTGATTTCTGGCCATATAGTGCCTACCTGATTTGCATATCCCATTAAGCTAAGCACAACACTTCATCATAGATAGGATCAACCCTATAGCTACTGCACTTTGGAACTATCTGGTCCAAGATTACACATTTTACAGCTGTAAAATGACACATAGACTAGATAGGGTGGTCCATTTGCTGTCTCCCTGCTATATTCCTTTGTCTCATTCCCTTCAGGTGGCTACCTGAACCCCATGCCTTTGTAAAGTCTGATTCCTGCAAGATCCTGCATGCAAATCCCAATAAGCAGTTTTTCTTTATCAACACCCTCAATCCTTCAAACACACTATAATATGCAATATATTCTCCCAATTAAAGATGCTTGAAATATATTAATCAAATGCTCACAAATGTGAAGAGCGAAATAGATGACTCAGAAATAACATTAGAATACTTCAATACACCATTCTCAAGGAAAGACAGATCATGAGGAAAGAAACTCAATACAGAAGTAGAAAGACTAAACAACACAATCAATTAACTTTAACTCCTAGACATATACAGAGCACTCTACCCAACAACAGTACAGTGTACATTCTTCTCCATGGAACATTATTCAAAACAGATCACAGGTTAGGCCACAAACCAAACTTTAATAAGTATAAAAACATGGGAATTTGACAACCTATTTTCTCAGATCATAATGCTGTAAAACTAGAAAATAACAAGAGAAAGAAAAGAAAAATTCCAAATAATCACCCACAAGGAAAAAGAACAACATACTACTTTTAAATGACTGGGTAATAGATAAAATAAGAAATGGGGGAAAGGGTCCTTTAGATGAATGAGAACATAATATACCTAAACCTTTGAGAAACTGCAAAACCATTTGTCAGAGGGCAATTTATAGCAATCAACGCACATGTGAAAAATAGGGGAAAACCAAAATAAGTGCCTTTACACAGTATCATCAACAACTAGAATATGAGCAACAAAATAAACTCTCAAATCAACAGAAGAAAATAAATCATAAAGATTAAAGCACGAAAAAAAGATTAGAGCAGAAATAAATGAAAAACAATGGGAAAAATCCAACAATAGAAAAAAATGTTTAAATCAGGTTGGTTTCTTGAGTATTAACAAAATTGACAAATAACTGACAAACTTAAAGGAAACAAGAGAGACTGTGTACCTATATGGAATTAGTAATGAAAAGGGTGACATCACAACAGAATGAAATGAAATAAAATGTTAATAGCATCCTACTATGAAAGACTATAAGCCAATAAGTTTCAAACCCTAAATAAAATGGACAAATTTCTAGAAACACAGCAAATACTCAAATTAATTCAGACTGATGCAGAAAACGTCAATAGATGCCTAGAAAGAAGAAAAAGAGAAGGCCAGTAGAAAATTTCCAAACAAGAAGCCATTAGGATCAGATGGCTACAGAGGGGCATTCTATCAAACGTTCAGAGAATTGTCACCAATTCTACTCAGACTATTCCAGAATATAGAAAAGAAATGCAAACCCCCAAAATTACTTTATTCAGTGAGCAGAACCTTGATACCAAAACAAGGCAAAGATATATGATAGAAAACTACAGATCACTATGCCTTATGAATATAGAGGCAAAATTGTCAACACAATTTTGGCTGATAGAAACCAACAATATATTACAAAAAACTAATACACCATGATCAAATGGGACTCATATCAGGTACAACATCCAAAGAACAATTAATGTAATCCACCACTTAACAAAACAAAAATTACAACCATATGATCATACCAATTGATGCAGAAGGCATATGACAATATCTGTCTTTCTGTAACACTCACTTCTGTAAAAGAAAAATCAACCAAATAGGAATAGAAGGGGAATTTTGTTTCCTTAAAGGAACAATTAATTAAAAAATAAATATTACAACAACTTATGATATTTTATTTTTAGGTACACCTTGTACTTTTAACATGTTATAACTATAAAAACATTTCTTGCTAGTCTATGTTTTTATAAATTCAATGATTTCATCACAATTAAGTTGCCATACAATATCTACTTCCATACATAATAAGGATAATAAGTTGAGTCTTCCTTTAACTACTAAACCCTAAGTCTCTTTGGAAATAAAAATAGGGATTTTGTGATCATTAAAATAAAAAATATGGAGACTATCAGAGAGATGGTAACTGAGTAACATGTACCAGAAATCAGCACAGGACAGTTACTAAGAGGGAAATTCCACACAGCTGGGTCACAGGAGGAACATCATAAAGATAAGTAGGCACAGATCCACTAGATTTTGAGCAGTTTGGGGCTTTTGGCTTACCACAATAGATGCAGGCTAGAGTTTGATGTTAGCCCTGCCACTGTCTCTGCCAGAGGTGGGATCATTTGGAGCCCGTGCAGGGGCTTTATTTCAACACAGCCACAGCTTGCAGCCACCTCGGGGCAGGGTTTAAACACCTCAAGTCCCACAGTCAGGGATCAGGGCTCAGCTATATTGTTACTTTTGTTTCCCTCTCTTCTTTCTGTCCCCCCACAGTCTCAGCAGAC